CAGGAACAGGATACATTTATTGTGTCAGGTTTTGAGACAGGGTCTCACTAAATTGCCCAGGCTGGCTCAAACTCAGTCTCTAGCCTGGTTTGTTCCTGAATTTGCAATCCTCTTGGCTTTGCCTTCCAAGTGCTAGAATTCTAAGCATGAGACACCATGCCCTGCTCTGCTACACCATGTTATACTTTGTTTTAAAGTGCACAAAACTGGCAACAGCGTTAATCAGGCTAGAGACTGTTGTTGTTGTTGCTTTGTTGGAGACAAGGTCTCCACTATAGCCTAGGCTGGTCTGGAGCTTGCCATGCACCCAAGGCTGGCCTTGAACTAGCAGTAATTCTCCTGCCTCAGCCTCCTTCCCAAGTGCTAGAATTATAGCTGTGAGCCACTACACCCTAAATATGAGCTTTTTTTTTTCTACAAATGAAGGAGGAGAGGCTTAGATGTCCAAGAGTCCAAGTCAGCAACAATCCTGCATTCAAATAGGAGCTCAACCCCAAAGCAGGACCTTTCTACACAGGGTCTGTTAGCCTGCTCCCCAGCACATGCATCCGGTACCCCATCCCTAGTCTGAGGTCTGGTAGGCTTCACTGCTTCTGAGTTCATCGGTGCAAGCAGAAGTCATTGGAGATGCTTAGGAGACAACCGGGCTGTCTCCCGTGTTAAGTCAACAACCAGAATAAAGCTAAAGGAAGTCACAGTGGGAACTGTCTCCCAGGGCCAGACAGTCACGGGGCAGGGCAGGACACCTTTGGCCACAGGTGCACAGCCAGGTCCAGCATCTGCCAGTCAGTATCTGGGTGACCTTGGATAGGGAGTCTCTCCTGCACAGCTTCCTGGTTTACTCCCCGAGAAAAGACAATGGCTGCTCCGAGGGTTTCAGAGCTGACATAAATCACTGCCGGGGTAGTGCTGTTGCTTGTGCCTCCTGAAGTTGGTGACATCTCACTCTCAACAGTCTGCTGCTGAGGGTGACTTCAGGGCCTGCAGGAAGATGCCTGCAGAGCCAGCACCCTAGCCAGGCTCTGGGATGACGTTTCCACTGTCTTCCCTTCATGACTCACCACAGGCTGCTCCACTCAGAAGAAACAAGAATGCTAGACTCCCCTCACTCCCCGGTGATAGACCCGCAGTCTCCACGTAGCTCTATTGCTACACTGAGCTCTGCAGGGCATTCACTCTGAGCAGAGGCAGAAGGTCTGTGAAAAGGCGTAGGGTGATAATGTGGGGAATATTACCGAAGAGGAAACCGAGGAAGGATCAACTTAACCGAGAGCCTCCTGTGTCCTAGGCCATGTCTGTGAGCACTCAGCAGGGGCTACAACTTCACCTTCCTCATCTTCAAGAGGAGGGGGCCTTCTTGCATGGTCAAGGTTAGAGAAGAATTAAGTAGCAGAGGCAGGAGCCAAACCAGTCTCATTTGTCTTGAAACTCACAGCAAGAAAAGCAGAAGGTCCCATGCTGTCTCTAAGCCTGGCACCACATTTACCTTACATGGCTTTGTAGGACAGAATAGCATGACAAGCCCCTTCCTGGGCTGTGCTCTAAAACAGTGCTGACCCCTGGGGAATATGCTTATCCACCTGGGCTGAGGAGTAAAGGTCTGAGGCTTAGAATATGGAATCCAGAGGAAGCCAGGAGATGTTTCTGGTCCGGGAATCATTTGGATTCCAGTTCTCTCATTTCCAGCCAGCTCTCTGGCTTTTCTGTAAAATGTCCTATCTGTGGTAGGGGAATGGTGAGGACAAGGGAGAGAAATGGGCTGGCCGTTGAGGCACATTCTGGCTCAGAGCTTTTGCTGTGTGCTGGAGGGGGGTGGAGATGAGACAAATCCACAGACAGATGCTGCGATGGCACAGTGTCCCCAGGACTCTTAGCAAATAATTCACTTGGTTTTTGCCAAGCTAGAATCAGCCACAAGAATAACTTCACTTTGTCAGAAAAAAATGTAGTTAGGAGAATAATTCATGCATGTTATGTTCTCATCGTCAGTGCCCTGTATAACCGTGAATTAATTCCCAGAAGGACACAATGGGAGATGACAATGGTTGCGCCAAAATGACAAGTCTCCTTTTTCCAAGAAAAGAATGGCCTTTTACATAAAGCTGCTACTAAAATCCCTTTGGCTCAATACCAGACTTGGACAGGCTTGGGGTGGGAAGAAAGTTCACAGGTCAGCTTAACTCTTCATCGCATGCTTGAGTTTCTCCCATGATGCTCCTGAGTAGGGGAATTAAGGGACCCTAAATACCCTCAGGTCCACACACCAGAGCCCTGCCTCCTCTTCTTTGGGGGTCTGACCCTTAAAGCGATGCCCCTGGACTGTCCACAGCTCTGGTTCCTCCTCTTCTCCAGAGCTGTCAATCATCCTACGTGCATAAAAATAATCCTACCCTGAGGCATCATTGGTTTTTGTTGTTATTTTTTAAGGCATTTATTTGATCTATAATTATTCTAAAATGATTACTCCTCCAAATAACTGAAATCTCATATTTTTTTTCAGCCCATGTAACCAACAACACTGAAAGCTGATTGTAATCAACCGGCTTTCACAGAAGGAAGGAATAAACCAAAAAATAGATGTCAGGAGAATCCACTTGGCCCAAAGTATCTGCATCGAGCATCATGTTCCCAGCCAGCAGACAAGTGAGGGGCACTTCTCCAGCGGCGCCCAGCCGACCCTGGAGGTTGGGTGGGCAGCCTTCAAACTGAGGGGCTGGAGAGTTCTTCTCCCCCAACACACCATATTGCACGATGGGGAAAGAGAGGCCCAGGGCCAATCTCTTTCCCCTGTCACTAGATGCTATGTGAGTTGCAGGCACTCTGCAGTTAGTATGCACTGAGGGTACAGGCCCTCTCAGGTGCCTGAGCATGGTGCTCAAGGCACTTCCTCCCAAGGGAGTGGAGCAGGAAGAGACCTACTGTGTGTACAGTCAAAGGTTGGCCTTAACAACACTTGCACAAGGGGCTCAAGAGCCAGGCTCAGGTTTCTTTCTCCAGACTCTGCTCAGGTGCTCTCCTAGCTGACTACCTGCCCTTTCCCTGATGCCAGCCAATCCTTCGCACTTGACTCCTTCCCTGCACACGGCTTCTCCAACTCTCCCTTAGCCGCCCCCTCCCTCATTCTTGCTACAGTCCCGGGGAGTCACGATCACTGACTGTATATACTTAATGGACTGCCATTATGCTGCCCAAACAGTGCTTCTGTTAGGTTTGGGCACCCAAAGGGATGGAGTCTTTTGGTTTTCTTTATCTAGTCCAGTTCATCTGGCACCAGGAGAGACCTAATGACGCAAGGAATCTTCCAGAATCTGAATGGCTAGCAGGAGTTCGTCACACACGGGGGAAAGATATCCAGGCACAGACACTACGCTTGAGGAAACCACTTGACATCCTCAGAGAGACAGTTTAGACCACAGGGACGGGTGCAGAGAGGGGGTCTGTGGGCAGACCTCAGGGATTAAGTTTGGGTCACATGAGCACGAGCAGATGAGCTGTGCAGGCATTAAGGGAGTGATGCGGTAGGGGCAGACACGGGCAGGAAAGCTAGTTCAGCCTCTCTGCCTGCGGGGGCTTTGTGCTCTGAGGTCTCTATGAGAGAACCTGAGGATTCCACAGGCCCTGAGGATTCTGTGAGGGCCTTGAGGCCTCCCCACCCCCAGTATCCTGAGAATTCCAGGCTGGCCTTGAAGAGTCTGCCAGTATCGCGAGAAAGGAAGAGAAACATGAATCCATACGGGAAAGCTGAGGCAAAAGCAGTAGAGTCCAGTGACCAGCCCGAGGTATGGGAGAGAGGAGAGATCAATGTGACCATGAGAAAGTCCAGCACAAACCAGATGTGCAACTAGAGCCAGGGACCGGGACTGCTGAGAGACCGGTCAGTGGGGTAGCATGATGCCACCATGGGAAACACCTTATGGAAACCCTCCTGAGGGATGAACCTCCTTGGTCGGGAGTGAGCGTGCTAGTGTTTACCCAAAGGTGACAGATGAAAGAAGTACAAGCAAGCCAGCCACAAAGGCAGGTGTGAATCTTGGGAGGCTGAGGCAGGGGGGTTGAAAGTTTGAGGACTGAATGGTAAGATCTTGTCTTAAAAAAAAAAAAGAAGAAAAGACGCTGGGCGTTGGTGGCGCACACCTTTAATCCCAGCACTCGGGAGGCAGGGGCAGGCGGATCTCTGCGAGTTCGAGATCAGCCTGGACTACCAAGTGAGTCCCAGGACAGCCTCCAAAGCCACAGAGAAACCCTGTCTCGAAAAACCAAAAAAACAAATAAAACAAAAAAAAAGAAAAGAAAAGAGAAAGTCTATCATGAAAAACTATAGAAGGCAAGGAGAGTACAGAAAGAGAGTGAGAAAGAGAGAGAGACAGAGACAGAGACAGACAGAGACAGAGAGAGACAGAGACAGAGAGAGAGAGAGGGGGGGGGTCAAAAACTCAGGTGACCTGATGGGAAAGAAACAGCTTTAGGGAAGACAGTTTCTTCTCTTAAAACTCATTTCTCAAGGAGCTGGCTGGAGACGAAACTTCCTCCAGACAACCAAATCCCATGGCTGTCTTTGCAGAACTCAAGTAACACGCTTTCATATCATTTCGATAAAGTGCCGTTGCCAGTCGGCTAGATGATGGCTCTACTCCACTCTGCAGGTCCCAGTCACTGTGGACATCAATCAGGCGGCCTTTTCTACTGGTGAGGAGCCACATTTACCGTCTTTCCACAGTACCAGAAGGCCCAGGCGCTGCTAGGAACTACCCAGACCACAGACAGACACACAGCAAAGCCCGTCTACACCATCCGTCTTCCAGCCCAGCATGCTCCGCGGCACCATAGGACAGAAGCTCCCCAGAGCAAACAACGGGCAGGGTTTGGCTCAGAACACCCTTCTCCACACAAGGCAAAGGCGAAAGGGTTTGCGCCCCCTCCTCCCCGGCCCAGCGATTACCCAGAGTGCACTGCACTAGGTAAAAGCATGGAAGGAGAAGCAGCCGCCGCCGCCAGCTCACCCGCTTCCTCAGGTTGTAGGTGAGGATCAGGTTCCGGGAGAAGGAGTGCGAGAAGGCCGTGTAGAACTCCAGCACCTTCTGGAGGGCGTCCCTCTTGATCACATGCAGATCGCAGTAGGTCAGGGCCCTGACATTAGCACAGGACTGCGCAAGCGTGGCTTCCTTCCAGAACACATCTCCAAACACGTCTCCTTTCCCTGAGGGGAGAGAGTGGTCATGAGCACAGGGTTAGTCAGGAGGGATCCACGGTCACCGGCCACCTGCAGGTTGGGCTCAGGGGGGGGGGGAATCACAAAGGGAACCTCAGAAACTTGCAACTCAAGAGCCTTTAAGACGGCACCTAACTAATGATGATAACGCTGCCCTTTTGGCATGGGTGATGCCGGTCTCCCGAGAAAGCCATCACCGCCCCCCATTCCCCGCCCCCATAGCACCACTTGTAACCCGAGACTACTTTGTGGTTCACTGCATGACTTTGCACACAAGAGCTCCCCTCAGAACACAGTGCTTCGGCGGTTTCTTCTGAACTGGAATGCCCTGCCCTGGAAGAAAAGGTCCTTAAGACTCGGGCAAGTCTCAGAATAACTTAGAAGTCCCAGGAAGTCCCTGAAACATACCAGATTCACAAGGCTCCCTCCCTTCTCGGGGGGGGGGGGTTATGTAAGCGGTAAGGACTGTTTAGAAGAGGAGACTCTTCTGCCTGCAGGTTGCCTGAGAGTCAGGCAGAGAGCTCCAGGGTGGCCACTTTCATCAGCTGTCGCCCATGTTGGGGTGGGCTTCAGCGGTGTTTCCCACCTTCCAGCTCTGCGTGTTTACGTAAGCACGCTTCTCTCATGCCGCCACGTGACACCTGCCGCAGATTCATTTAGCAGATTGGATGTGAGGGGTACCGTCACTCTGGCCCCGCCTCCGGTAAACAGACACTCATTCATGTCTCCCCAGAATGTCACACAACGTAGTAGGGACATGGCTGGTACCGACAGGCAGAGAGGAAGTGAGGGAGGGCAGAAGTGGGCCATGGGTCTACACCTGTGTGTCTACCTGAGATGGGCAGATATCCTGCAGATGGGGAGTGTGTTTGTATGTGGACTTCCCGCAGGAGCTGAAGAAGCGGTCAAGTGTGCGGCTCAGCCCCTCCCATGCTTGTCCCCGCCCTAAAGGTTAATTCATATCAAGTATCCCACCTTCCCCTATACCTCCTAAAGTGTTCTCGTTACCCTTGCTAAATGAGCCCCCTCCGGTGGAATACAACACAGGCAATCGCCTCCCTGGCATCTTCCACCTCCAGCATCCTGCAAAATACGCTCGGCGAGTCGATGCAATACCGTGAAGTGAGTGTTCCTGTCCCAAGTCTGTATGTCAAAGCACCAAGCCCCAGTGTGACAGCACCAGGCGGGTGCCTTTGGAATACACTGGCATAGATAGGAGTTAATGACTTACGTCTCCTGTCTGACCCCGTGGTGCCTTCATGAGAGGTCCCCAGAGAAGCTGCTTTTGCTGTTTCTTACTGCTGGAGACACAATGAGAAGTGGACAGCCTGCAGCTAAAGAGAAGATGCTCGCTGGGCGTTGGTGGCGCACGCCTTTAATCCCAGCACTCAGGAGGCAGAGGCAGGCGGATCTCTGTGAGTTCAAGGCCAGGCTGGTCCAACAGCCTCCAAAACAATACAGAGAAACCCTGTCTCATAAAAACCAAAAAACAAAAAAAGACAAGATGCTAATAAGAACCTGGCCACGTCGGACCTCCAAACTCCCAAAAGCTGTAAGAAAATTCTATTGCCTGTGTGGCAACCCCTCCCCATGGCACTTTGTCAAGGCAGCCCCAAATAAGACATGCGGAAACCTTTGTCACCGCGTGTCTCTCTACCTCCTGTAACTCAGAGGTATTCTTTCATAGCTGCAGATGTTTTTAGCCCATGTCTATTGAAAAGCTGGATTTACTCCTGGCACCGTCTCCAACTATGTGGGTTGATTGTTTGTCTTGCTTATAAGCTTTCAGGGCAGACAATTACAAGTATGAATTCCCAAGGAAAAGCCGGAGGGGAACATCTAGGAGGTAGGATAAATCAAGAAATGTTTGTCCAGGCTCCCTAGACCCAGGCACCCCTGGTGCTTAACTAGAAGCTGCTTTCCTACCAAAGGCAAAGGAAGCAAGGTGTAACTTGAGACACACAGCTTGATGGACTTTTTCTCTAGTACCAAACATCTGTTGCAAGTCTCTAAGGCACTCTGCGGTCCTCTCTAAACGCCTCTGAAATGTGAGTCAATGCCCCCGTCTCCTCCAAAACAAGTAAACCGTGCGTGGCTTAGGGATGTTACTTCATGATTCTCTATGTGTCTCTTGCTCCGATATGAAGGTGGGCTTAGATTCCGTGTAAATAGGCCATTCATGGGGTAACTTCCAGGTAAACATAAATGCTGTTTGGCTCCCCTTGTCAAGTTCTAATTTCTACTGTCTGTGATAAGGCAGCTAAGGCAGGGAGGGGTAGGGCCAGTAGGTAGAAGCTTTGCTGTGGGATGCTACGTGGCTGGCCTGGAAACAGGCTCTCTCCATGGCGCTGTCCAGTACTGAACTCTGGGAACTGGCCTGTAATCCTGTGGCCTTCTCACGCCGTCCGCCATGACTCATGAGCCTTTCACATCTATGGAGTCTTGCTCTTCCTGGGGATATGAAGAGACGTGGCGGATCTTTGGCCACCCGTTCCTCCTGGCAGTGTGGTTACAGTTGTAACTCATTGAGGCAGGCGGTTCATGGCTGGACTTCGATGTCTAGTCAACACAGTCTGGTAGAAACGACATTCTTGGATTTTGAGGCAAGGCCACAGGAAGCTGATGGCCCAGGTCTCTCAGAATACTCATTCCAGGAAGTCTCTATATTGACATCTGATCGGCTTTGGGGAGACTGAGCCTCACAAGGGGTCACGAGAGTGATCTAGTGTCTTCTCCAGGTCTCTTTTGATAGCCACAGCCTCTGCCTGTTCCAGCCCAGTCAGGCCTTTGGGTGAGCACAGGCTTAGAAATCGCCTGTCTACAGCCAGCTGAGAAACCCACCATGAGACAAGAATGAGTGCCTTAACCAGAGCATGTAAGGAGCCATGACCCAGCAGCAAAGACACGTGAACACACAGATCGCGGAGCTCTGGGCTGAGAAATGTCAGAACATCACCCGTCACCCCGGCTCCTGCTGGCACCCCTTGTGCCAAGAGAGGGTGAAGATCCTCTCCAAAGAGTGGGCTTCCCCACCAGTGAGCAGCAAGGAGAGACTCTAACGGGCCGATTCTCCCGGCCACACGTTCTGAGCACCCATGGGAAAGACAGCATTATAAGCTCTGCAGTTCTTACTGGGGGAAAACATGGTATAATTAAGCTGTAACTACTGAGTAGAAGCTGATTGGTAATTTTGTCTGTTTCTTATCGAGATTACCTCATTTAAACAAGACCCAATATAGAAGCATTATGCTCTTTAATGAAATTGGGAGTCATTTTCTAATTATAGAAGAACCGGTAAAGTGAAATAATAGCTCCCCGTGTGCGTTTAATACATGGATGTAACTGTACAGATTTCACTTAGGAACCCTCTCAAGGGGTGCATCTGTTGTACAGAACATGGACCACCATGCTGGGGTGGGACACGCAGGAAATGAACGCCCCGGAGACGGCAGCACCTCCCACTGGGAAGTTTGTTACCGTAGCACAGGCTGGTTCAACCATGCCTCGCCCGACTTCCCGTGGAGACAGCTGCCTGGCGTAGACGGTCTGGCAGTGAGAGTTAAGGACGTGCTATACAGGGCCCCTTGAATCCCAAGCAAACCCCAGGCTCCTCGAGCGAGGGCCAACTGCTTTTTAAGACACGTGTAGCCCACGAAAGCGGGCAGGAGCAAAGCAGGGCTTTTGCAGGCCTGGCAGCTGTGACACAAATGTCTGGGAAGGGACCTCCCCAGGTCAGAGATGACTGAGAGAAGGAAGCCATGACAGATAACTGTGCACATCCTTCTTCCAGCTGTGAAGCGTGACGTGACCATCCGCTCGAGAACACGGGGCAGTCAAACCGCTCAGCCAACCAGCTTGCCAATCAGAGTGCAGAAGTCTAGAACATTTTAAAGAAGCTTTCCGTGACTGCCTAGGTAATCCCATTCTGAGTGGATGTTCTGAGCTGGGGGAGGGGGAGGCGTGGGGAGGAACTGCAGGTGATACCCTACTTAGGGCAACCTGGCAGCACTACAGTAATGAATCGCACTGCGTACTCCCTCAGCTACACAGTCTCCCCTCTGGTTGTGGTCCATGTAACTGTCTGGCGGGGTACCAGCGGGGGCTGAGGAACAGTTGAGCACCAGGCAGATCTCAGGGCTGAGGTCCACAGGGACATCGCACAGCAGGGATGGGGACTCTGCACTGCAGCTCAGTTCAGTGAAGGGTAGAGGCTTATGCGGCCAGTCTCCTCGACCTCCAAGGCCACACACCCACCTCATCACCCTCAACCATAACCCCTCTGCCGATCAGCCTGAACCGTACTCACCGTCACGCTATGACGCTCGGCATCTAGTAAGCTCATATACGGCTTAATTCCTGTTCTTTGGTTTTTTATTTTATTTAATTAATTGGCTTATTTTTGGTTTAGGATTTCTCTGTGTAACTACTCTGGCTGACCCAGAACTCTCTCTCTGTACACCAGGCTGGCCTTGAACTCCCAGAGATCAGTCTGCCTCTGCCTCCTGAGTGCTGGGATTGAAGTTGTGCACCACCATCTGTCTTATTTTACTTTTTTACTTTTTGAGACAGGATCCCTCTATGTGACTCTGGCTGACCTAGAACTGGCTCTATAGACCAGGCTGCCTTCAGATTCACAGAGACCCACCTGTCTCTCTGTCTCTGCCTCCTAATGCTGGGATTAAAGGTGTGCGCTATTATGTCCAGTTCTGGGATTTAAAAAAAAGTGGTGTGTGTGTGTGTGTGTGTGTGTGTGTGTGTGTGTGTGTGTGTGTGTTGTATTCATGTAGGCACACACATAGCAGCACAACATGTATCAGTCAGGCTATAAAATATTGGTGATCTTACCAACAGTGACATCTCTGTCCAGTGAAACTTATTCAATGACATCTTCATGAGCTGGGTACGAGCCCATAATTTCCTCCTCAACCCCAAACCTCTGCTGCAATGGGGACTTCTTTGGCTCGGGCCCTGTTTTCACGCATCTGAAC